GAAGGAAGGAAGGAAGGAAGGAAGGAAGGAAGGAAGGAAGGAAGGAAGGAAGGAAAAATAATGCACTTGAAGGGGCTGGTAGAGAAGTACTGAGTCCTGGAAGGTGGAGCACATTGCAGAAGAGGGTAAAGGAGGTGGTAAAGGAGTCCTCACAGCAGGGCTTAGGGAGAGTTAACCGCATTTCACACATTCCACTGCTTCAGAGAGACAGAGGACTATGTATAAGAATAGACAATCCCCCTCCATACAGCAAGCCTGGCAGGGATATATCTGAGAAGTAGCCTATATGAAAAATATGTAGGAGTACAAGTTAGCATAAATTGACAGCTTTTTGTCATCCTCCAAAATCTGATGCAGTATCAGGCTGTGTTAACAGAGACAGGGTATTTAGGATGCAGGGGGTGATAGGCTCACTCTGCTATGGACCTGTCATGGCCGGAGCATCTCTACAGTTCTGGACACCAGGCTGTGAAAAGGAGATGTGGTCCTTGAGGTTCTTCCCAAAGCCCTCTTCTTTTCTCAGTCTGCCACTCCTCAGGATCATCTCATCCCTGTTGCCACATATCGTTATGAAGGGAGTTTCCTGTATGGAGACACCTGGTCAGGGGAGGAGGGGAGTTATTCACCACTGGAGTCCTAATGCAGGAGCAGGGCCAATCTTGGGGGAAAACGGGATGTAGGGCAGATTTCAAATTATTTGGTCCAGAGGGAGAGTCCCTTCCTAAACATCACAATTAACGTGCTTGCCAGCAGGCAGCCCTACACGTCACCCACCCCCATGGCGCCAATTACCGTTTATGTATTGATGGTGCCAATTACCATTTATGTGTTGATGTCCCCCTTGAGACCATACCTACAACCAACTGGACAGGACAAGGTTGGCAGGAAGCTTCTGGGAAAGTTCTACCTTAATTTTAAAAGAATGACAGGAGATGTCTTTCTCTTTCTGCTAGATGTGAATAAGACAGTGAGTAATCCTGGTTGCTACAACCAGCCTCCTTGTTACCACAAGGAAAACTGGTTTACAGATGACGCTGATGCTATGGGTCATGGAGTAGAGGAGAAAAGAACCTTTTTTCTTGATAACATCATTTAGCTGCTGAATCAACCCTGAAGACCACCCTATGTCTGAATCTCCTTTAATGTGAGCTAACAAATTTTTTAATTAGTCAAGCCAATTTGAATTGAATTTTTAGTAACTTGACGTCAAAAAAACATCCTAACCAAAACATCATGTATTCTCTACCAGGAATCTGATTATGCAAGGGCTTTGCACTGAACAATCCACATTTACTAACCAGGCCACTAAAGAGTCAGATTCATCATTTAGTCTTATTAGAAAGGTGTCCTAACTGTGGACATAAGACCAGCTGGGTTCTTGTGTCCTAACTACAGACATAAGACCAGTGGGGTTCTTTTGTCCAGTTCATCTTATATATGGTGCATATAGTATAGTGCCAAAGAGGGGGTGTTAGAACCCCAGCTTTACCATTCATTAGCTATGTGACCCCAAGAAAGTGACTTAGGTTCTCTGGGCCTTGTTTTCTTCCCCTGCCAATGGAGATCATCATAGTGTTACCTCAGAGGGTCATTGTCAGGATCACATTAAATGATACACATGGATTAGTTAGGATTTATTTCAGCTATGAGTAGCAAACAAAATAAGTCATGAATATGATTTAACCAAGAGAGAAATTTCCTTTACTGTCACATTCAAGGATCCAAAGATATTCATTCCAGGATGGACATGGCCCTTCATAGTATCAGAGACCTACCTTATTTACTCATCCCGAAGGTTCCCTCACAGTACACAATGGTTCCTAGAGCTCCAGTTATTCAGTCCCCATTCCAGGCAGAGGGGCAGAAATAGAAAAGAAAGGCATGTTTCTACTCTTTAAGAACATTCCCTGGAAGTCATACACACTACTTCTGCAGGTGTGACCTGATAAAAAATCAAGGAATTTGTTATGGAATAAGGAGAGAAGGCATATCCAACATCTGCAACAATCTGTGAAGTATGAAAACCTTGAGATGGAACAAAGTCAGTAGCATTATCTGGCATTTACTCTTACAAAAAACCTCCAATTCTCTTCCCCACAACAGGTCCCCCTCCCACACCCAAACTCCCGCCCTCAGCCTGGTTTCAGTCAAAATCCCACCCTGTCTTGCAGGCCCATGAGGGTCCATTTAAACTAGCAGCTGTTGCAATGTCACACTGTCCAGGCACAAGACACACAAAAATAAAATTATTCCTACTCTCAAGAATCTCACTGGAAAGTAAGAGACTGCCAAATTACTGCACGTGAGGCTGTACCTGGCTCATAAGAAATGCTCAGTGTGAGGGCCGGGTACAGTGGCTCACACCTGTAATCCCAGCACTTTGGGAGGCTGAGGCAGTCAGATCACAAGATCAGGAGTTTGAGGCCAGCCTGGCCAATATGGTGGAACTCCGTCTCTACTAAAAATACAAAAATTAACCATGGTGGTGCACATCTGCAATCCCAGCTCTCAGGAGGCTGAGGCAGGAGAATCGTTTGAACCTGGGAGGTGGAGGTTGCAGTGAGCTGAGATCATGGGTGACAGAGCAAGACTCCATCTCAAAAAAAAAAAAAAAAAAGGAAAAGAAAGAAAAAGAAATGCTCAATGAGTCTTTGCAATTATTCTTCTTCTGGTTAAGGACCCTAGACCATAGGCTAGGAGGACCTGAGCTTGAACTTCTGCTCCACCACTTACCAGCTGGGTGACCAACTAAACCCTCTGTGCAGTAGCCGTGTTTCCATGTCTTTGACAACTGTATTCAGCTCTCATTTAATGTATTATAAAAGAACATTGCATCTTCAGATTCTTTTCTAAACTTGATTATTTCAGTCACAAGTCTTGTAGATCACAACACTCTAAGAAGTTATTATCTGGCCGGGCGCAGTGGCTCGCACCTGTAAACCCAGCACTTTGGGAGGCCGAGGTGGGTGGATCACCTGAAGTCAGGAGTTCAAGACAAGCCGGGCTAACATGGCAAAACCCCATCTCTACTAAAAATACAAACATTAGCTGAGCTTGGTGGTGCATGCCTGTAGTCCCAGCTACTCAGGAGGCTGAGGCAGGAGAATCGCTTGAACATGGAAGGCAGAGGCTGCAGAGAGCCGAGATGGCACCACTGCACTCCAGCCTGGGTGACAGAGTGAGACTCCACCTCAAAAAAATAGATAAATAAAAAAGTTATTGTCTGGAGTGTGACTTCTAAATGTCATTATATAAAAAAATGTTGCTCAGATCTGCTTTTAACTAGTAATACTAAGAACATGTCTTGTCAAGTAGTTGAGGTCCTAATACACCAGAAGGATACTGTAATAAAAGAATACACAGTCTAGAAAATAGTTAAAACATGTTTGTCCAAATTATCTTCCAAGGAGAGAAAAGGCAGCTAATATTTATGATCATGTGGCTTGGAAATCTAAAAATAGTTTTAGGCCAGATGCCTAAAACATGAAATAGAGAAGTCAGTAAGCAGATAATTTAGGTTTGTCATTTTATTCACAGTTATCTGGTAATTTGAGTTAAGCATAAATAAATATTTGACTGGATGTGTTTGCAGTCAATTCATTGGTTTTATCATGAGAAGTTTAAAGAGAGATTGATGTTTCCAGTAAAAAATATTCTTTGAGTTCATTATAATAAGAAAGGAAGAAAGAAGAAAAATGAGAAAGAGAAGAAGGAAAAGGAAGAATGAAAGGGAAGAGAATTTTAACTTGTCTGCATTTACAGGAAATATGAGAAATCTGACTCCTCCAGCAGAGAAATAAAAATGCAATGCTTGGTGCTAACAAAGAAACACATAATTCACTCTCATATTTTCTCAGATGCAACTGGCTAGCTAGGAAGACAAGCTCAATTATAGAATATCTGTCCTCCAGAGGCACAGTTTGATCTTAAGTTGTCAGAAAATTTTATCACTCCTTTTTACAACAAATAACTGTCTAAGTTAAAGACTATCATTTAACAATATATGGAGAGGTGGCCTGCTTCAGGAGAGGCAAGCTTACAACACGCCTGGCCAGAAGCTTTCCAATCCTTAATGAAAGCCTAAAAACCTAAAAATATTAGTTGAAAGTATTCACAAAAAAACACAGTGTCCTAAAAACTAATATTTCTAAGGTCACTCCAATTCCTGAGTACAGAATACTGTATTAGGATATCCCTGATCAAAAGAGCACATCTCATTCTCTCCTCTCATCTCTAACATTCTGTTCCTCATTTGTTATCGTGACCTGTCAAATGGAGTCTCACTGTACTATGTAAGAGCAACACTGGAAGACCAATATTTCACAAAGAGCAGCCCAGAGGTGATTAAATTTATAAACCCATAGTCCATACGCCAGAGGGATTTTAGGCCTCAAGATGTTAGAAGAAAAAAAAAAAAAAGTTACTGTTGGTTATGATGTTTTTGATTAGAAATAAGAGTAAATCTGATTCAAATTTCTTAAACCAAAAAAAAAAAAAAAAAAAGAAATAAAGGAAAAAATAAATGTACAGAAACAGTGTTGACTGCCAGAGGTCCACCGTGTCTGTTTCTCTGTGTGCTCTCCGCTCCGCCCTCCTTTTGTGTCAACTTTGTCCTCTTTCTAGCTTCCTTCCCAAAAGAAAGACCTGCGCGAGTTCCAGATCTCACGTCCTCATGGCACATTTTCTGTAAGAAATGAGAACGTTTCTCCCAGTCACTCTTTCCAAAGAGAATGGGAGTATTTTTCCAAAATCTCTTACTTGGTATCTTACCTCATCCAGCTAAGGAGAAAGGAAGGGAGATGGTCACAGGCCCGCTCTTAAACCAATTACTATAAGCAAAGAGTAAGGGGCTTTGAAGACAGGCAGTGAGGACCCTCCCTGGACCTGAAGGTGAAGTCAGGCCTAAAATGGGTAAGAATATTAAAGAAGTTTCCCAAAAGAAATAGCTGGATGCTAGTAGAAAAGGGGAAGGCGGGCGGGTGGGAGTCAAGGGAGAATTCTGAGGAGTAAGCAATAGATGCCCATTGCAAGTTATTTAGGATACTTTTTAAATTGCAGAAACCATTTCTAATTAGCCTAAGCAGAAAATGGCACTTTATTATAAGGCTCCCCCAAAATCACTTAGGCTTAAGAGTATGAATGCTACCAGAAGGATCTGGAACCAGGGGTACAAAGTCACTGAAACTTTCTCTCCATCCTTTGTTTCTCCTCCTCCATTGGTATATGGTCTCTTCTGTGTTTGAATTGGTCTCCTTTATCCTTAAATCCACATGGCACCGTTAAGACTTCCAAGTCTCCTGATTAGACAAATGTCCAGTTCTCAGAGAAAATGAATCTCATTCTGTGGGTCTTAGTAGTAGAATTCTATGAAAGAGATTCACATTGAATTTGGATCCAGTGATTGTCCCTCATCATGAGGTAGAGTTATAATTTACAGAATGACTCCAAAAAGTTCACTTCTATGACGGACATATGGTGGGATGGACCATGGTGCAGTTCCCAGAGAAGAGATGACTGAGAAGACCATGCAGTAAGTGTCCAGTGTGTACCCCTTACAATATGTTTTGCATGATATTGGCCACATGAAACATTTATAGCGTAAATTTTGTTCTAAAATTGAAAATGTATATAAAAAGGAACAAACTATCAAATCCAGGACTTCAAGGAAAGAAGCAAGAGAAAGATTGTTTCTTCCCCAGCGCTTGGCCAAAACCCTCTGAGCATCTTCTTTGCTCCAGAAACAGTTTGCCCGAGGCCAGTTAGCACACCTTACTGCATCATCACAGTTATTTCCATGCATGTTCCCTGAGAGGACACCATTCTTTTTTTTTTTTTGAGATGGAGTCTCGCTCTGTCACCCAGGCTGGAGTGTAGTGGCACGATCTCAGCTCACCGCAACCTCTGCCTCCCGGTTTCACACCATTTCCCTGCCTTAGCCTCCCAAGTAGCTGGGACTACAGGCACCCGCCACCAAACCCAGCTAATTTTTTGTTTTTTTTAGTAGAGACGGGATTTCACCATGTTAGCCAGGATGGTCTCGATCTCCTGACTTCATAATCTGCCTGCCTCAGCCTCCCAAAGTGCTGGGATTACAGGCATGAGCCACCTCGCTGGGTCAAGGACACCATTCTTTTAGAGCTGGAAATGTGATTTTTATATTCACACATTCAACTACATTAGTACCTATCTCAGAGTTAAAGTTCAATCATATGCATTCAATTCATGTATTAATAAATTAATTAATGAGGCTGAGATTATCTTGTTCCTTCATTCACTAAACATTTGAATAAATGCTTTGTTTGAAGAACTATTTGAGAAATTATAGAAAAAAATTAAATATTGAAGACATTGGTAGTCCTTCATGACTTGTGCTTAAATGAAAAGATGTTCAAAATGTATCAAAATTGAAAAGCAACATATGACTCGTGGTAAGTGTTTTCTTATTCCCACTCAAAGTATTTAGTCAAATATTAATAAGGGTGTTTTTTGTTGGGAAACTATAACAACGAGCCCAGTACTATATACTTAGAATACAGTTGGACTTCAGGCTGGTTGTGGTGGCTCATGCCTGTAATCCCAGCACTTTGGGACGCTGAGGCGGGTGGAACACCTGAGATCAGGAATTCGAAACCAGCCTGACCAATATGATGAAACCCTGTCTCTACTAAAAATAGAAAAATTAGCTGGGCATGGTGGCATGTGCCTGTAGTCCCAGTTACTCGGCTGAGACAGGAGAATTGCTTGAACCCGGGAGGCAGAGGTTGCAGTGAGCTAAGATTGTGCCATTGCACTCCAGTCTGCGTGACAGAGCAAGGCTCCATCTCAACAACAACAACAAAAAATAGAGTCAGACTTCAATAAATATTTATTAATGAATGAATGTTGACTTTAAGTATACATTACAAAAATATTTCCCAACATTTTTCACATCATGACACACTTATAAAATTCTTTTATTTGGTCTGGACCATTGGGTGTACCCTGAGGTCATTCCCAATCTGAGGTGATTAGGAATGTGTGGCTCTCACAATCCTTGGCACTGACTGCAGGTATCAATATCTAGCACATTTTTATATGGTAGTTAAGAAGAAGAATGAATAAGGTAGGGCCCAAATTTTTCACCTTAAACGTCTCAACTCCTTTTGGACTGTAAGACTGTAGAGGACTTTTTTTTTTTTTTTTTTTTTTTTTTTTTTTGAGACAGTCTCACTCTGTCACCCAGACTGGAGTGCAGTGGTGCAATCTCAGCTCACTGCAACCTCTGCCTCTTGGGTTAAAGCAATTCTCATGCCTCAGCCACCTGAGTAGCTGGGATCTGGGATTACAGGTGTGCACCACTATGCCTGGCTAATTTTTGTATTTTTAGTAGAGATGGGGTTTCACCATGTTGGCCAGGCTGGTCTTGAACTTCTGGCCTCTAGTGATCCACCCACCTCAGCCTCCCTAAGGACTTTCTTTTTTAAAACTACCTCTTAGGTAAGTCATTTTTAGCCCTACTGTCTATACAAATATTTCTTTACATAAGGGACCATTATTCCAAACAAATTGTGGGGAAAATTGACTTAAAAATTATGCTGCCAAGTTATCTCAGTTCCCAAAAGATCAGCTACTAGACATTTGGACTTCTAGAAGATGAAATAACATGTGCTTTTCTTGGTTCTCTCTGTTTTTCTCCTACTTTTAGGAGTTAATCCAGTTGCAAAATCTGGGAATGTTGAATTTGATTTCCTGATGTGAAGAGAGAATATACAACAGCATTTAGTGACACTCTCAACCAGACCCATGTGTCCTTTTCCTACAAAACGTGTCTTCCTGAATGATCCATGGGCACCCCAGCCATTGTTCACTCTTAGCCCCCTCTCTTACATATATTTGCTCTCCACAAAGTTCCTGTTTTCCTCCTTCCTTTGACCTCCTCTTGCATGGTTTCTTGTGGGTAAGAATAGTCACCCATTCCAGAGTCTTGGAGTCATCCCGAGTCCCTCCTTGACATCATCCTGCCCCTACTTCACCTATTTTAGCACAACAGTCACGCAAAGTCCCATTTTTTTAACCATATAAACTGTCTCAAAATTGCCCTCCATTCTCAATGCCACCCTTACCCATCGTGTCTTGCTAAAGCTCTTTTCAAAATCTCCCTGCCTTTCTTTATTCCACCTCCTTTAATCAATTTCCAGTACTTTAGCTAAAGAGATCTTCTAAAACATGTAAATCTGAACAAGTCATTCCTCCACTCAGAAATCTTCAGTGGTTTCCTATTTCCTGTAAGGAAGAACTGAACACGGCATAGCACACAGAGCCCTGTTTATGTGGTGCAAACTATCAGTCCAGTTTCATTTCTCGGTGCAACTTCTCAGACTTGAGAAGCATTCAATGACCTTTAGTTTCTTAAGTTTGCATGTTCTTTCATGCCTCTCTGTCTGCACATGCTGTTCCTTCTTCCTGGAAAAGATATTCATGATTCTGCCATATCTGCCTAGCGGAAATCTTTTACCATCAACAGTATACTCAAGAATCACTTTCTCACTGGAGCTTTCCCTGATCTCCTCAGTCTGGTTTAAGTACCTCTTTGTAGCAGAGGCTGTGGATGCCTGGTCCATATCCCTAGCCCTTACCACATCAGGGCATTCAAGCCGACTTTCCAACTGCTGGTATCTGCATTTCTTTGCCCAAGGACGCATGTCGTTTGCCTGTGGAGCAAGCCCAAATTGGTCCAAAGGAATACTCTTGGGAGCAACTTCAACTAATGGAAGTTGAGGTATAAATATTCCAACTCCCTACCCATTGGACAGAAAACAAGTTTGGGGCTTGTGCTTTATACTAACTCCCCCAAGCTCCCCAGGGGGGTTTGATTCTTGTCGTCCATAGTAGCTGGCTTGATACTGTCTTACATTGTCCACATTCCCTTTCCCATCTTTCTTAACTACCCTCCCATTGGCATTTCCTTTACTTACCAAAAGCACTACTTACATTTGAATGTTAGGGTCTGCTTCAGTAGAACCTCAACTAGGACATCCTTTCTGCTATCTTGCCAGTGCACCGTGTATGTAATTTTACGTCAGTCATTTAAACTTGTAATTATCTTCCAATGCCAATATATGTCTTAAGATCAGGAATTGTATATAATTCTTCTTTGTTTCTCCACATCTAAAAAAAGATGCTTGACAATATTAGACACTCTACAAATGCCTATGGAATAAATGAGTGAATATTTAAAGAATGAATTTAAAAAAGGGAAGGAGGAGAGAATAATAAAGTTAGATTATGGTAAGTCACCAAATACAAAAGTAATTTGTGAGAAATATTTTTATTAAGTATAATTTATAAAAGCAAAATCCTCCTTATGTTTCACATAATCCATTGGCACATTAAATATCCCTCATTCAGAAATGTTTTGTCATTCTGAGATTAATACAACTTCCTGTAGTGTTTGAGAATTCTGGTTTCAAAATCTCATAGCTGTGTGATTTAGGGTAGTGTGTCTCTAACTTTAATGTCTACATGAATATCTAAGAATCTTATTATATGCATATTCTGATGTTGTGTGTGTGGGGTGTGGGGTGTGGCTTGAGAGTCTGCATTTCTAACAAGTTCCCAAGTGATACAGATGCTGCTGGTTCAGGAATAGCTAGTCTCTAGGGCAAAAGACATCGATCTCTGTGCCTCTGTTTTCCTCAACTTAAAAACAAAAGAATAATGACCCTATTTTGCTGGGTTGAGAAGATAAATGAAATAATACATGAAAAGCACTTTAAACAATATCTACCATCTAGAAAACTCTCTATACACGTTATCCATTATTATTATAAAACTCATGATATATATCGATGCTTTTTATGAATATAAAAGTGCAGGGTTAAAAAATAAAAATAACTGCAAGTATTTTTATTGTTTATTGAATAATTTGCATATTATTAGTTTCAGGCCTCTGAGCCCAAGCTAAGCCATCATATCCCCAGTGCCCTGCACATATACATCCAGCTGGCCTGAAGCAACTGAAGATCCACAGAAGTGAAAATAGCCTTAACTGGTGACTTTCCACCATTGTGATTTGTTTCTGCCCGACCCTAACTGATCAATGTACTCTGTAATCTCCCTCACCCTTAAGAAGTTTCTTTGTAGTTCTCCCCACCCTTGAGAATGTACTTTGTGAGATCCATCCCCTACCCCCAAAACATTGCTCTTAACTCCACCGCCTATCCCAAAACCTATAAGAACTCACGATAATCCCATCACCTTTGCTGACTCCTTTTTCGGACTCAGCCCACCTGCACCCAGGTGAAATAAACAGTCATGTTGCTCACCCAAAGCCTGTTTGGTGATCTCTTCACACAGACACGTGAAACAACTAGTGTAATACTTATGAGAAAAATACAAAAGTCACTGTTGATTAGAAAAAGGCAAACTCTGTAAACTATTTGAAGAAGTTTATTCTGAGCCATCTGTGAGGACCACAACCTGTGACACAGTCTGAGGAGGTCCTAGGAACATGTACCCAAGGTGGTCAGGTTACAGGTTGATTTTATACATTTTAGGGAGACGGAAGTTACAGGTAAAGACATAAATTAATACCCCTAAGGTGGTATACATCTGTTTGGCCCAGAAAGGTGGGATGGAAGAGAGAGAGGATTCCAGGTCATAAGTAGATTCAAAGATTTTCTGATAGGCAATGGATTAAAAGAGTTAAACTTTTCCCAAATGGTTGAAGTCAGCAGAAAGAAATGCTTGAGGTTAGGATATGGGGGGTTGTGGAAGCCAAGGTTCTTGTTATGTAAATGAAGCCTCCAGGTAGCAGGCTTCAGAGAGAACAGATGGTAAGTATAACTTATCATACCTTAAAACATGTCAGACTCTTAGTTAAATCTCTCCTAGATCAGGGAAAGTCCTAGTAAGGAAAGAGGATTCTCTACAGAATGTAAATTTTTCTCCTAAAAGACAGCTCTGCAAGGCCACTCCAAAATATGCCAAAGACATATATTTTGTGCTAAAATACTTTGATTAACTTTAGGGCCTGTTATGTCATGTGATATTATACTAGAGTTAGGTTGGATTTGCTATCTTATTGCTGTAAAGAGTCTGTTCTGTCAGTCTTGGGATCTCTATTTTAATGTTAACGCTAGTCAGTTGTGTCTAAACTACAACAGGGAGAGGGTATAATGAGGCAAGACCTATCTCCTCCCTTTTACTCTCATGACATGAACTAGTTTTTCAGGTGTTTTGTTTTGTTTTGTTTTGTTTTGTTTTGTTTTGTTTGAGATGGAGTCTCGCTCTGTAGCCAGGCTGGAGTGCAGTGGTGTGACCTCAGCTCACTGCAACCTCGGCCTCCTGGGTCCTTTTTCAGGTATTTTTTGGAATCCCTTTGATCAAGAGAGGGGTCCATTCAGTCCGTTGGGGGCTTAGAATTTTATTTTTGGTTTATACCACCTATGTACAATTCAAATATATATGTACATATAAATTGCATGTAAACAATAAATGATTTTCAATAACATAGGTATAAGTACCAGTTCATGATTAGCTGTCAGATGGGAAAAGACAGAAATGATGAGGTCCTGCCCAAGGCTATGGGTTTTGGCACACGGCAGGCTTAGAATCAAGTCCTATCTCTCCTTAAGCAAGTCAATTAACCTTTATTTTTTATTTTTATTTTTTAAATTATTATTATTATTTATTATACTTTAAGTTCTAGGGTACATGTGCACAACGTGCAGGTTTATTACATATGTATACATGTGCCATGTTGGTGTGCTGCACTCATTAAACTTTATAAGCCTCGTTTTCTCACCTGTTAAGGAGGGAATACTTTCAGCACTCTGACCTGAAAAGAGACAATATGTGTAAGACCTTAACCCAGTGCCTGACACAGAATAAGCATTCAATAAATATCAATTTGAGGCACTATTATTAAGTCGAAGAGCTCTAGAATTCATTATATGTCTATCAGGCACCGATTCAAAACTAGGAATTAGTTGTAAAACCATAGGGTTATAAATACCCCAAGACCTGAGCTGAACTAAATTCTGCATCTGGCTACCTGATGGCATGGAACTGGCAAGACATTAGAAGCAGGGACAATTTGGAAAAGGTTCAATTCAGGAAAATCAATCCATGGTAAGCAAGAAGAGTGAAGAAGAGTGCCCAGGGATGTGTTCCAAGCATGCACTGGGCATTGCTTCAGCATCAGTAGAGTTTTAACATGATTTTCATCAGAACAGCACATGTGATGCTGAAGGTCACACTTTAGAACTTATAGGAAACATTGAGTAGTTGATAATCTAGATTTATTCTGATCAGCAAGAACTATCTCACTGGGGATATGAAAATCATGAAAATCCTAGGAGAGAAAAACAATACCACTTTAACCTTCATAAGAGCAAAAGATGGTCAACGTGGACACAGTAAATGATGCTCTCCAGATGACATGAAAGTATATTTCAAAATTCCAGAGGAAAGATATACAATTCCCTAAAAGGAGCACTAAAGAAGGGAGATGAGGCTGAGAAAGAAAATAAGTTGAGTGTTAATTCACATTAGCAAACATTTATTGAGAATCCTCAAAATGGAGGTGGAGAAGCCTGTAAGACACTGTAGAAAAAGCCGAAGATTTGAAATCAGACAGACAAGGATCTTCTTGCTACTTTTTAAGATAACTTAAGCTTAGCACATGATTTGACCTCTCTGCCTTGCCTACACCTCAATCTTATAAAAATGGGAATAACAATAAAGCACAATTCTGAGTACTGTGAGAATATGAGAGTATGTAAGACATGCAACTGCCTCTCATGTTGGGCAAATGAATAGGAATATAATTGCCTGGAATATAGGATAGAATATGAAAATAAAATATTGAGGTTATAGATCGACTTCTGTAGGAGTATTATGAAGGAAGATATTCATTCTGACTAATGAAATCAAGTCTTTAAGAAAGAGATGGCATTTGAGTTTGGCCTTGAATTAGGGGTAGGAGTTCTACCAGTGGAAATGAGCGAGAGAGAAAAAGAGCTAGTAAGTTTAGGGTAAATATTCCAGGCAGTTTTAGCCAACACATAGAAACATGAATATATGAAAATATTTAGAGACTAGTGAGAAATAAAAAGCATTTAAATGTTCAGAGAAGGATGCAGTGGCAAGAAGCAGAAAACAACATTGGAAAGTAGATCAGGAAGAGAACATAAAAGACTTTCAACAGCATGATAGGGGCTTGACATTCTCTGTATTATCAGAAACTTGCAGTTTTATAGGCCTTCACTTCCACATGCATTATCTTTTCTAACATGCACAAAACTTTGAAGTAGGTAGATGGATTGTTTTTGTTCTCATTTTAATACAGTTAAGGAAATTGAGTCTGAGTGACTTTCTAAGTTAGCAAACAATAAGTATCAGAGTCGGACTAGAAACTAGACCTGCTGCCTATTTGACAGATGCTCCTTCCACATTGCCATGCTTTCTCCATAAGCACTTTGGAGCCACTAAAGTGCCTTATTACACAGGATTTTGAATGTCAAGCCAAAATGTTCGTCTTACCTTGCTTTTTGGGCAGAGGACTTACATAAACAGAATGGAAATATCAAGTCTGGCAGCAGTCCATAAGGATGCACTGGAGAGAAGAGATGCTAAGACTAAATGTAGAAGACTTAAGAAAAATCCTGGCAACATGAAATCCAAAAAAACGTATTTGTAAAACTGTGCAATTGAGTTTCAAAATATGCACTTTACAAGCTCAGGTTGCACAAGAACCAAGTTAATAGTTAATAAGAAATGGATCTGTGATTTCATTAAGATTAATGTAAGCATTAGCTAGCGTTAGGTAGCTGCTAAAAACCAATGTCCTGTTGGCTGTGTTACCGGAAAATTCATGTTCAGAATAAGAAAGGCATGAGATCAACATGTTGCTTGTATCACCCCCAGAAGTGTGTTCAGTTCCAGGAGTCAAACTTTAAGAAGGACACTCCTGATAAGCTGAAGGAGTATAAAAGAAATCTATTAGAAGGATGGTTGACAGCCAAAAAAAAACTATGTGAGTTTTTTTGAGGGGGAAACTAGAAATTTTAACAGAACAAAAGAGAGTGGAGAGGGAGGTTGATTCGAAGGGCAAGACAGATTTTACAGGGCAGAATGAAGACCAATTGTGGGATTGCATAGAATGT